TAATTTTATAAAACCATTAATCGCAAACGATAAAGCAGACTGTTGGAGAAGGAATAAAATAGCCTACTATTTATTTGCTTTGCAGATTTTCATTCATTAAAAAAACAAAAGGCCGAAACCCCCACAGCAAAGAGCTTAGAACAGAAAAGGGATCCTCCTCTAGACCCCCTTCAACAAGGGCCAAAAATCACAAGCAGTGTCTTGCAAGATAACTGCAACACACCGTGAAAGAAAAGACAGTCTTAGATAGCTTACTCTTCCCAGGAAAGCTCAAAACTGAAACTTTTAGCATGGAAAAAAATGTTCGTTCTCAGCACCGAAAGACTTAACAAAAAGCAGCAGCTTCAGTTCATCTCGTACAGCTGTGATGATAATACATTTTTTTCTATTACAGGAAAAATAAAAAGCAAAAGAACCAAACAACCTTCACCTCACGCATTACACATAGTTAATTCAACAAGTGTTTGGCACACAGCATGTACTCAGCAATTCTCTGCCAGCCTGTTTTGTCAGAACCAAATACTGTACATGCATTGAGAGTCTGCAATAACACTGATTTCACACAGCAAGCACATAAACACTGAAACATAGGCAGGTCGTTCACAGAGCCCACTAGTACCCCTGAGGCAGAAAGGGGAATGCAATCACACTTCGCTAAGCGAGACTCAAAAAGGGAAAGATCATGGGATGTCATTACATACGTGCTGAACATCAGGCTAAACAGGAGGCATTACTTGTACAGTCTGTACAATTCACAGAGACGGACAGCACCTTAAGATACAGTATGATACCCCTTCTGCCAGCAACTCCTTCATTAAGTCAAACAACATTTCACCACCTTCCTTTTTAGGAGCATCCTTTACAGGTTTTCTACAATCACCTTAATCATGCTGGGTGCCTGAATTAAATTATTTTGTATTCAGAGACCACTGACCAATGCAGTCAGAACTCAACAGGGTACATATCCTCATTTTGGGGACCATTATGTTACCGATTTGTGCTGAATTCCAAAAATACAATAAAGGAACCATACAGCCATGGACTCTTTTGGGACCTCAATTTTAACCTGCAGATAGCCACAGCCCTAATGTTAAAATGATTCGGATTTCTCCTTTTATTTTGCATTTCAGTGCTATGCAGAAAACTCATGAGGGAAAATACCACAACTCTCCTGATATAACAGCGCCTGCTTTTATTTTTTATACTGAACACCGTATTTCAGTAATTCTAAGGACCAAAACAGACTATACATACACTTAGGAAATGCAGGAATACATTAATTTACTGCTGATGGCCTCAAGTACTTGCTAGGAAAGTGCAGACTAATATCTCCATGACACAATGGCAGCTCATTGAGCTGGTTTGGAAAGGTGCAAGTCTTATTCTCCCCTGTTCAATAATATAGAAATCATGCCCGATGGAGAACACTGCAGAGAGAACAGTGAAGAAACCAAAGCTATGGAGAACAGAAAGGTATGCTGTACCATATGCAGAAATGTACAGAGCCTCAGATGAAACTTACAGCCTTTTGTGCATTCTACAATTCTATTTCCGGCAAATACTGAACCTAAGAGCCGTACTGTGACCTGTATTTAACCATTTTAATAGATTTTCTGTTAAATGAGTAAGATTTTTGTCATCCAATACATTACACATAGACATAAGCTAACTGTGCTGTAATATTATTTATGAAATTTTCAAATTTTCAGTGTTTTTCTGTACTATTTGTTATTGACTTCTCCAAGAATTAGGTAAAAGGCTATGAATGTTAAGATGAGAACAAAACCAATCCCCTTAAGCACAGCAATAATGGAGACCTGCGTGGATGGTAGCTCCTTCCTTTTCTCTCGTTCTCAAAATAAATAATAAAGGCTTTGGCAATGAGACTTGTTTTTCCAAAGCACTTAAATAACAGTCAATTATTATTAGATCAGAAGCTGAAGCCTGATCATTCCCTTTAAACTGTCATTTCATACTGGAGTCCACCCCGTCCTGATCAAACTCACAGTAAAACTCCAGTGCAGCATTTAACTGCCCCTTTCTTGCCTCAGACAGCAATGCTTTGAACAGTCAGCTCTGTTTAATCCTAATAGGACTGATAGTTTGCCCTTGCTTGAAATTACAAGAAATGTACACAAATTGGGAATTTAGCATTTGATAATCTGATTTTTTCTTTATGAAGATAAACACCCAGTCTGAATTGCACTGCAAAAGTAACACACCTCAGTCAACACCTACAGGTCAAAATTTATCCACAAAACTTAACTTAAAAATCCAGAAATTCAACTCCCATCTAAGTACACAACATTCACAGTTCAGAGCGCCATTCACATTATTACACTCAAGACTTGTCTATTGGATCTTCAGCTCATGACTTTTGCAGCAACGTGCAACCTACAACATTTATCATCATTTGATTTTTTGGTGTAATCTTGCACCACAGAAAAGATCATTTTTGCAAAAGGCTCATAACAGTTTAGATCTGCAGACAGTAAACCTGTTTGTTACAGAACTCCCTTCGGGACAGGGAAAGAAAGGCTTTGCTTCCCATTTGGCAACAGTACACCCTTCATTAAATACTCTTCAGTGCATCATTCAACAACCTGTCTTGTGTAGTTAAGGCATCTGGTGAATTGAGAAAGACAATGAATTTTGTGATGTGATTAGTGAACTATACACAATCAAATTGAAGCTTACAACATGGTCTTTGCAGAGCACAATTATAGAACATTTAAGTCCAAAAGAACAATGTGTTGTTGCAAAAAGATGTTCGCTTCTTCAGTAGAGTACTGTGCTAAAGTACTGAAAGTACAAAAATAATTTTAGCCATAAAGAAGGGAGCACATGATAGTAAGGTACTATGCAATTAAAAATTAATTAATTTTCTTTCAAAGCAAAACATAATGAAAGCAGGCAAGCCATTAGAATTTATTAACAATACATCATCTATATCAGGGGCAGCTTTTCCAGGTGGTTAAATATTACTGATCATTTAACCTCCCTCAAATTGTAGCTGCAAGAACACTGTGGAAGATGCAACACACACACACACTCAAGGATTTGCTTGACAAGATGTGCATTTCAAAGGAATCTTGAAATTTGACTGGCTTATCAGGAAAGATGCACTCCATATTCTTTGCTGTTACAACAGAAAAACAACAAACATCAAAACTGTTCATATGGAATCTGAGAGTCTGAAAAGGGATGTCCTGCTATGTTTGCGATTCCTATTTTCTCTGCTGAATAGCCTTGCTCTTTTGAAGCAAAGAAAGGTCTTGATCTTACTGATGAAGATGCCTTTTAGTTACAAAATGCAAGGCTCCAGTGCCGAGATGGTGGTGTAGAGTGTTTGGGATTGTTGGACCTAGTACATTGACGTAGTTCAAGTAGGGATCTGCGTCAGCATGTGCTGTTTTCATGACTATGCAGTCAAGACACTGCATGACACTTGACATCAACTAAAGCAATCTTTATTCAGATATCTGCATCTGTGTTCAATTCTAAATGTAGCCTCTTAACCTCTTCTCTAACCTCTTTCTGTAGCCACCAGCAACCCAACGGGCCAGATGAGCCAAACTGCTTTTTTACGCATCTCTTTTCTGACCTTTATAGTTTTTCCATATGAAATCTGTCTGAAAAGTAAATTCTGCACGCACTACAACAGTTCTTTTTCTTTTTAAAGACGGTTGTAGTTTCTGAAAGAAAAGTAATTTAATCACTCCACAGCACAGGAGAGCGCTGCTTCTCCGAGATGCCTTTGTGTTGTTGTTCAAGGTAAGCCATGGGGTGTGTGTGGGGGGGGGGGATTCTTCACACTCATCTACAAACCAAAAGCACAAAACAGAAACGGCTTCTTGTTGGAGAACTTGTTGCGGTTTAATGAAAATTCTCCAGAGCAGCACATTACAATACAACAGACTACCTCAGGGGCTTCTGTCTCACAAACACGGCATTATACAAACTTCTCGGTGTAAAAATAATCCTTTAATGAATAAATCATGAAGTGTTTAGAGGGAACCAAAGCAAAGTGTAAGGAGCAGCCTCTTGCCTGTGCTGGTATGTAAATACTACCATTATAAGTGTACTACTTTAACCCCTGTGACAGCACTGTGTACGCCAAAAGAAACACTCAGCAATGAATGCATTCTGAAAAGAAATGCAACACTTGTTAAAGCACTCTTATTCACAGCACTGACTACTGGGGGATCAAAAAGGGTACTGTAAGCCTTTCCCCCCATCCATATACCTGGAGAAAATTATCCTGGAAGGGTGTGATGTAATACAGGTCCTGACAGGCTGTGAGTTTCAACGTTTTTTTTTTTTTTTAATTTATCAACAGTTTAAATCCAGGACAGAAAGAAGAGTTGTCCAGCTAAGCCCATATTGTAGGAACATTCTTCTTGCTAAGCAGGCTGATCCCAGCACATGCCTGGGACTCCCCACATACATGTCTTCCTTCCCCAGGGGCCTGGGGTCAATATGCTTGTTGCCTGCCCATATGTTATTCTCTTACCCGTTGAAATCATCCACCACTACTGCTAAGCACTCTCTGACAAAGCGGTGTAAAATGGTACTTATGGACCAGTGGAAAGCACTCTTCCCTTAGGGCCAGAATTTCCACAAAGAAATGCCCTTGTACGATGATCACGGACACTGTGCTGGAAGAGATGCTAGGGTTAAACCATCGTCCATAACGTTGGGGCTCCTTCACTCTCACTCTGTTATCTGGGAAATGCTGTGTAAATTCTACCCTGGGTTTGCACAGAATGACCTTTTTTAAAGGTCCACCTTAATACAGCCGCTGAAGCAACGTCTCACTTCATCTGATCAGCTGTACAGTACACCTGCAGTGCGACCACCTCCAGTGTAGTATATCCCCTTCCTTAAGTGTACAGAGCCAGGTAAATCAGCAGAATTGATCTAAAATAAGTAGCGCTAGTTTGATCTATCACTAGAAGGGCAGGAGGGGAGAACTGTACACACTAAATCGAGACACTTACCTCTGTACCTCTCTGTTTGTGCGGCGGCCAGACGTGGTTTGTTCGGTCCTGGAACAAAGGCGAAATCAAAAAGAAGTCAAAAGAAGCATGGGGAAATAAAATGCATGTTTAGTATCTGATGTGATTTGACATCAGAATACAGACACTGTAAAAACCAACCAAATAGCTTCAAACCTGTAAAAGGAGAAATGAAACTGCTTGCAGGGTGTTTTCAATTACGGTTTCAACATTTAAAAACACGTTTATTTTTTTCCCCCGTTCAGAGAGAAACATGCACTGTTAAGTCTGTTCGTGCGTCGTAGCTGAAAGCCAGCAGGCAGTGGGATGGACAGTTGTTCAGAGTACGTCACCTCATGCATAGGAACGCACTCTGCTGTCCACGCACTTGTTCAAACGAGCGCTAATGGGAAATATTAAAAAAGTGATAGAAGAGGATGTTTCAAGATATCAACAATCTGTTGAGGAGAACCTGAAATTAAGTGTTTAACAGCACACGGTATTTCTTTCATTTGGGCATGTAAATGGTATAAAATACTTCAGTCCTTTAATAACTATAAAACAGAATATGATTGGCTAAACCTTTAGTTGTGGAGACTAGGGCATAATAAATGTTATGAGAATGAAGCCTGCAAATCTGATGCAACATCAAGAAACAAGACATGTAGCGTTCAAATAAGCACTATCTGAGCTGAAGCAAGGGAAATTACTTTAGTGACCAGTGCGAGAGCCACTGCTAATGCACATGGAGCTTCGTACTGTGTTAGCCTTTAAATTGCAAAAGCAAGTCAGCTACACACAACTGGTGAAGAACATATTCTTTCCATAGGTATAAACCTCTTGTCAAATATGTGAGGCAAGAATCACAATACTGCAAGAAATGGCACCTCCTTCCGACAATACCTGCAGAACTAATGATATAGAGAAAAATGTCCAAAGCACTCTGGTAGAACATGCAAAAATGAGTTTTTTGTACTGAAAATGAATGAAACTACAGATGTTGCTGACAAGATTAACATCGCGGTGAAAATGCTGCAATTATTTGAAATGAAAATGACATGTCTGCTTTCTCCACAATGGAAAATTTTATGTCTGAAAACAGATTGGCTCTTGACGGCAATGTTAAGGAAAACATCGTTAACCACCTTGTGTCATTCAGAGCGCAGTTCTTGATTATTTTCCACCAAAGGCTAAAACGAACAGCTGGATCAGAAACCCTGTGGGTGTTGATGTCAGTGCACTCCCGCTGACAGTTTCAGCATGTGCAAGAAAGAATTGTGACTGGAACTATCATGCGACGAAACATTGAGATTTTAAAAGACGTTCTTTATTGGACTTTTGGATACAAAGATGAGTACTAAGAACTTTTGACGTCAGGAGACGTGACAAAAGCTGCACACGGATTTCTGCTTGCTTCTACAACAAAGAAAAACTGCTATATAGAGGACGAATTCAGACGCTGTAATAATAGCAATACCTCTGATAATAAGAGCTGCAAAACAACTATCAGTTAATAGTAAAACATTATATGATCTCATGCAAAATTAAAGATAATTTAGTGATTTGCTTAAGGATACTATAAAGTGAATAAAAAATACAAAAGGCTCCTCTCTGCCTGACAACTAAACACAATCTAAATTCGCAACACGCAAAAAGTGCTTTAATGATGCTTTCAGAAAATGTATAAGAAAACGCAGAGTAAAAGCATGAACACTAAAGGAGCAATGAGTGAAATCTAAGGTACAAAATGTCTTTGAAATACACATTAACGCAGTTGCCCCCCTACCATGCTGTTCTGAGCTGCCTGCAGTTTAATTTCTGGGAGACTCAAAAATACAGGCAGAACTCTAATGACAGAAAAACAGACGAACATAGCCCTCATCAAATGATCGATCAGTTAAATCGCTTCACTGGCTCTAAAATGTTTTAAGTCACTCCGAGTGTCTCATTTTAATGTCCTCTACTAAGGCTTTTTTTAAATCAAAATCGTCCTCTTTAGATCTAACAAACCCGAAAAGGTGATATAATGTGATGAGAATTCCAAAGATTAGAGAAAAGCACCTGCCTCCTCACTGACAAAAACAGGCTCCAGATGCGCTTTTATTAACTAGACCTCCAAGATCTCAAGGTCAAGCCCTTGTTCTCTCTAGACTGGAAAACTGCAGCTCTCTTCCAGCTTAAGAAACATACTCTCTGCAGTTCACTCAGGATTCACTCCTCCTCGCTTCCCTCTAATAATAATGATTGCTTACACTTGCTTTACAATTGCTTACACTTATATAGCTCTTTTTCTTCTTTAAAGGAAATGGGGACTCCCCTCCATCACCACCAGTGTGCAGCCCCACCTGGATGATGCGACGGCAGCCAGAGTGCATCAGAACACTCACCACACATCAGCTCTCAGTGGGGAGGAGAGCAGAGTGATGAGGCCAGTTCAGAAACGGGGATGTCCCCATCACTATACTTGGGCATTAGGACCCACACAGACCGCAGGGTGAGCACCCCCTGCTGGCCCCACTCACACCTAATCCCGCAGCACCCTCAGTTTTTCCCAGGAGGTCTCCCATCCAGGTACTGACCAGGCTCACACGGAGCTTCAGTGGGCTGCCAGGGTGATATGGTTGCTGGCTATAGCAAATGGTTGGAGCCCATTTCTGCACTTTTCACTTTCTATATCTGCCCAGACCCACTTTAAGACTCAACTCTGTTCCATCCTATCTCCAGTTCCTGCCTTCTCCACCATACATCCCTCATCTGCTTTCTCTGTTCATTATTAGACATCTGTCTGCTCCCTCGTACCCCTGTGGTGGAACCAGACTGGAAACAACAGGGCTACACTAGGTCTGAGGACCCAGCAGAATTTCAGCCTGTATCCTCAGAGACTACCTTCAGAACGCATGATGTTTCATTGCAACATAGGTACACTGATAACTGCAGAATGTACTGTTAAAGATTTTTTAGTAATTTTCTGTCTTTGTTTTGGTCTTTGTGATATAACTGTACTAAATTATATTTTTGCTGTATTTACTTAATAGCCCTTTTATATTTCACTATTTGAAGACACCTTGGAGAAGTCTATTGTAATACAATTGATCACACAAGTAATGGATTTAAGAAAGACAAATCGAAAATGGATGGATTGTCCAAAACAGCTTAAGATCTGGTGTAAGGTTTAGAGCAAACAGAGTAAAAGCAAAACTTACTGAAAAGCCTGGCCAGGACCGCCCGAGAGAAAGGAAAAGAGGGATTTTGCACTGATGTACAAGATGTGAAGGCCGGTTTATAACAAGAGATTTTCAGATCTCAGATTTTATAACAGATTTTTTTTGGACTACTTGCACGACCGAGCATTGCAATATTGCCACAAGCCAAAACAAAAAAAACAAAAGCTCGAAAAGTAAAAAGAACAATTATCCAGCAGAAAGGACACCTTAATATCTAAAGTTTGCTTTTATGTCAATCAACGCCTTTCTCAACAGTAACACACCACACCTCCTCTTGTATAGGTGACCCACCAGCAATGCAGGTACTGCATCACGTACAACACCAAGTGCATTTAAGCCTTTGGTCCTGCAGTATATTGAAGCAGCTGGATAAATTTCAGTGCTGCAAGTGGAGAAAGTTGCATCTCAATAACAGAAAAACATTTTTAACCGAGAGCAATAGCAAGGGACCTGGTGTGTAGGAGTCACTGTAAGAGATGTTTACCAGGGGATTGGTTGCGCAGGGAAGAGGGCAGTGGGCATAGGGGCTGTCTTCCTGTGGTCCAGGCCTGGAGACGTAGAAGCATCCCTCCTAGACAGAGCTGGGGCCCCTATCGCAAAAAACGGCAAAATAACTGGGTTAGTATGGGTGAGGCTACCCAACTAGCTACACACAATTATTATGGAAGACTCTCATAACATATTACTCAATTAGGGTACAGACCATTTAAACATCAGTTAAACTGCTGGCGAGATGAAATTGTGAACAGGCTCTGCTCGTCATAGCTTCCAGTGTCACCAAAAGAGAGCTCATGAGCTTCAGCAAATCACTGTGCTGCTACCCTTAACAAGCCTTGACCTAAATGTATTTTATTGCCTTCAGCTTTACACCTTTAACCAACTTAAACCCACGGCCTTTACATCTGTCTCCGACAAAGTTATTCTGTAATCAAGAGCCCAAAAATAAGGGCAAGCTTTAAGCAGACAGTAACCTAACAAAATGTATTTCATATAGCTTCAGAGAGTATAAGGAGAATCCAGAAGGATGTGAGGACGAAAACTAAGTAAGACTCAGGGTAGCTCCTAGCTGTGTGCGAGTACAGGAATCGCTGTGCAGGGTCTCGTCACCTCTAGAGCGGCCCAGACCGTCCTTCGCTGGGGCTGCAGGCTGCTCCTCCCACGACCTGCTCCGCCCAGCCTGCGTTCCACCCGCTCCATTCACCTTCTCAACAGCAGGGGGAGCTCTTCCCTGCTGCTCAGCCAGCAGGGCGCCGGGGAGGAGCACAGCCTCAGGTGGAGTCTGCCTGGGGAACAGAGCAGACCGAGTTCAGCCACGTTACTTTATTGCCTTCACGCAAACCGAGTTTACATTGAAATAGAACTTTTGCAAGGAAAGAAACATTACAATTACAGAGAAAAATGTTTTCTGGCAAAAAAGAATATTCAAAGTATAACTGCAAATGTTTGTTCTCTGCATTGGGAGATGGAACGGTATTTAAAGATCTTAGCTTTCTACAGATTTACAACCTAGCACTCGATGCCACTGATAAGCATGTACAAGCAGAGTGGTCTCCTGGTACAGAGGCTGTGCTCTGGCTGCAAAGTGAGCCACGCAGAGAAGAACAGTGCTGCATCTTCCTGAAGTTTCAGTGACTTTGGAAGATCTCACTGGGAAATGTGACACTTTATAAAGAACGCTTGGCACCAGGAGACTCCGGGAAACAATCACCTGCCATTGCAACACTTTCCCTGATTTCGTTGGCCTGAAATGAAGATTGGTATTCCTTTCAAACAAATACAGCGGAACAGCAAACCCCGGGAGAACTGAATAATTCAAGGCTTCCATCTGACTAGATCTTAAGGGAAGGGAAATTTAAGCACCTTTAATTTCTCCTAATTATGCCAGATTTGCACATTAATTGCTGCTGATCATTAAGCAACATTAACCACAGACAGGCTGTCACCCTCGTGATTTCAGTCTTTGCTGTTTCTTTAACCCAATACATTTCCTTCCAAAAAAAAAAGCAAAAACTTGTTTTATACAACCAAGAAAGATGGCAGCCAAGAGGCCAGTGACCCCAACTTGTGTACCGAGCCGTCTTTAAATTCCCCTTAGTCATTTAAATTCTGCTGAAATTAAAATTGAAACCAAATGAGTATGAAACCACAAAGCTACCTGGTAACATTAAGATTAGGCACACAGTTTACATTATATCTTCAGGCTGGCACAATAACTTACTGGCTTCACCTACTGTTAGTACCACTGCAGAAGTGAACCTGGTGATTCAGGCTCAAGTCTCAACTTACTCTACTCAGAGTATCTACTGAGGCAGATCCATGCACATTTAGATGCCTTCAAAACAAGAAACAAAGTATGCCCTTACCTGGGTCTCTCAGTGGAGGAGGTGTCTGTTGCACAACCCTGTTCCCCTGTCTGAGTCAGTAAGGCCCCACTGATGGTGTCCTCCAGCTCAGCCACTGCAGCATCCTGAAACCTGAGCACAGAGCATCCTTATAGCACATATAGCACAATCCTTCCAGCACAGAGACCGAGCATTAATCCCAGAGAGCTGGCCAGGTTCCCCTTGGGTTCACACAAGCCGGCTTGCCTAAACTCTTCCCTTCACCTGGTCTGCTGTGTAAGTGGGGCAGCTGTGGCAGAACATGGGTGCTGATCTTCAGTGGCAGAGGAAGTGGGCTTGCTTTGTGATAAAAGGTACTATTACAAACTCAAGAAATTAAAGTACACGACAATTAATTAACTCAAAGAGTTGGTAAAAGTTCTCACACATTGAGAATTTCAATCCCTCTATCACATGCACATCCTTTCTTTTGCTTAAATAATTATATCACTTTATAATACATCTCAACAAGGCAAACTAGACATAAGTAACTATGATTAAGTCTATTATTACAATAATAATTAAGCAGTAGCTAGTGCATCTAGTTTACCAATCAAATATTACTGACATATCAATGAGTTGTTTCTCATAATTACTTATTAATTTCACACTTCCATAAAGATAATAGGCAACTTTTTGTACTACAAAAAAACAGATCACTAATATTTCCTTACATTTATATAGTAAAAAATGATGCACCAGCAGCATTACACAACAGATCACCAATAGATCAGGTGGAGGAGTGAGAAAGGTCAGACTCTGGCCATCCAAAGGGGAAACTGGACAGAACGCCACGGTAGGACCCCCTGCTCTTTCTAAAAGTGCCGTGGACCTTTAACTACCAAGCAATAATTAGTTGAACATCTCATTCAGAGGACCACAGCACAGTGTCCCTGTTCATCACAATGGACCAGAGGAAAGAGAGCCAACTAGGGGTTAACCACACACAGCAACAGCCTGGGTTTACATGAAGGTCTCCTATCCCAGGACTGGCCAAGCAGGAGTCCTGGATTTAAGAAGTTCACATCACTGATTTCAAGGCCTAGAATGCCAGGTATCCAAGTACACTCTTCCCTCCCATTCCTCAACTTTCAATTACCCGGAGGGAGTTGCAGCCAAAGCTATCAAATTTGTATTCGTACAAATTGTCGCGGAACTTTAACTATCAAGGAAGCCACAAGAGAGAGTTCCCACCTGAGTAAGGTCTTTATTTCAATACTGCAATATTGGGAGCCCTGCTGCCACCTCGCAAAGACTCAATTTGTTACAAGCAGTACAGGGTTTTTATAAGACGTTGCGCTGTAAAAAAGCTCAGCGCTTTGTCCCTTCTAAAACTTCCCCTTTCCCCAAGACAAAACAGATTACATCATAAAGCGAGAGAAGAAGCACTAGATTTGTTATTCAAAGCTTATCAGTTACTTTCGGCTAATTCTAACGACCCAGACAGCATATATTGTTTTGGTACATTGTCTTCTAAAGTAACCTAAACGGTGTACTTTGTCGACGCACTGTTTTCTAAAATTCTGCACGTACTGTAGCACAGCAATTACATCCTTGAAATATATTATCTAAAAGCACCAATATATTTTTTGCAAAGCTCTCTACATTTTAAGAATCAATTTATTTATTAGATTTCCACTTCAAAATGCAGCAGAACAGTGGCACATTCAATATAATTCACACTGCACTGATGCTCGAGCAATCTTACTCACGCTGCTGGAGTAGAACATGCCACCCGGAATGTCACGCAAGCCGCACCAGCTGGTCATTTGATCAGCACATGTGGGCTTAGCCTTACAATCCAAGGAGTCAAATATTTCAGTTTCCAATTCAAGTCCATCTGTGCCTGCCAGCCCGCTCAAATTTCCAGTCAACCCAAGTCAATTAAAAATAGCCTTCCTTGGCCCATCTGTGACTGAGCCACTCATATATAGGTGCTCTTTTTTTCCAGATTGCCTATAAACCAAGTGGGATTTGATATGTTTCGCTGCTGCAAACGAATTTCAGTGAACAAACACTGCATCCTTTTCAGATTGCGAACATGGCAGCAAAACACATAAGTGAACCGAGGCAAGAAAACATTCATCATATGCATCGAGTTATACTGATATTATAAGATACAGAACCGACTGGAAATCAGATTGAAAAGTGACCAAATTATGTTCTTTTCAGGAATATGGGCATAATCCTGATGAGCAAGATAATCCTGCCTTTCCAATCATTTTAAATGATTTAAATTTTAAATAGATCAATTATATCCAACACTGAAAATACAAAAATAACCAGCAGCAACTGACTTCTTCAATGTTTTGAGTTTTGCACTGAATACTCAAAGACACTTTTTCGACATCTGTCATTTTTCCGCAATAAATGAAAACTTCCTTAGCCCTAAGAAAATGCCTGCATCACCCCCTGACCTTGTCTGGATAACGTCTCATCATTTTTGCAGCCAGCCAGTCTCTTTAGATTTCCTCCTTCAGAATGTTTCCTTACCACCCTCGCGGTGCCGAAGATTTCTCCCTCCGCTACCTCCCCGCAGAGCTGAAGCCAGAAAGCTATCTCCTGACCAGAGTACTAGAATCACGTCACAGACTCAAGCCCCAGCCGGAGAACTTTGTGGGTCCAAGAAGAAAGCCGCACATAAGCGAGCAACACAGTGACTCCAGAAGTTACAAAACCTCCCTCAGAATGGCAGCTTTAGCACTTTCAAGCTGGCAAAGTACATCGCAGACATTTTATCAGCAGTACAGTGCATCTAATTGAGCACAAATACACAAAATTGATTGATTTAACGTGAATATGCCAAAGAAATCGCTCACATGTATTCCTTTGAATATTTCCAAAAACGTACACAAAGGCGCCCCAGGAATATCGCATGGATAAGTTCTACCTTACCTACTCCAGGCCTCGATCCACACACAGCTCTTCACTAAGACAGCAGGGTTTGTTTAGAGAAATATTCAAATCAAAGTAAACCTTGCAAAAATATTTTAGCTTGTGTTCATACTCTTCCCCCCCCACCACAGGACAGACGCTTTAATTGAAATTGCTAGAGCATTCATTTGAAATGAACAGCCTGAACATTGCATGAAGGATGGACAACCAGGTTACAGTACGGTGGTCTGAGAAAACAACACAGTAACTGTGCAAACGCTTACTCTCCGAAAACCTTTTTTTCTCTGCACCCTATTCGTGTGATGAAGTGGAAATCTCAGTTTTCCCCCACCTCCTGTAGTCCAGGCGGGACTGCTGGAGCTGTCTGTGCTGGCCGAGCAGCTTCTCCTCCTGCTGGGCGAGGAGTATCTGCAGCTTCTCCCTCTCCACCTCCAGCTCCATCTTCTGCAGCAGCAGCTTCTGCCGCCTCCTGTCCCAAGGGCTCTCGCCGGGGCCCGTAGCGCGGCGGTCCAGAGCTCTCTCCTGGCCCCCCTCTTCCTTCTCCACCCTGCAGCGGTGAGAGCAGGGCCCCAGGCGGGGCTCGGCCGACCCCGAGCCTCTGGGGGCGCCATCGGTGCAGTTCTGATCCTGAGCGGGCCGTCCCGGCCGAGGCACGCTGCCCCCCGTCTGCGGCCCCCAAGCCTGTCCCGGGGGCTCCTCCGCTGGTCCACCCCCTTCCTGGCCCCGCGATGAAAATGGAAGGTAAAGGGCATCGCCTTGCCTCCCACTAGTGCTTGACCGGTGCTGGTCTGCGACAGAGGAGGCCCCCAGGGTACTCGCCCCCTCCGCTCCCCTGCAAGCTGCCCCCCACCCTGGAGGACGCAAACCAAGATAGGACCCATCCAGAGCCACACCGGGAGCAGGAGGAGTGCGGCGCTCATCACAGGGGGGCTGAAAATCCAGAAGGGAAAACCAAATTGACACGGACAGTCATCAGAAGAGCTTTCCAGACAAACTCGGATACAGATTAACCACCTTTTCCTAAGATTGATATTGAAATACCCAGAACAACTTTGAACAAAAAAAAAATCAGATGTAAGAATGAAAACCTTGTTCTTGGTTTACAGAAGATAAAGCACCTGTTTCATGAGATACGATTCGCGAGATTTCACAAGTCTACTGGGAAACCCCGTACTGATATTATAAGAGACAAAACACGATAAACGATATTCGGATCGCATCAAAAGAAAGTTTAAAACCTACCAGACACAATGGAATCCATGTCATTCACAAGGATAGTTGAAAATGGAACTTAATGGTTTGAAAGTGTTCTCAAAACAGGACTAAAAGAAGGATGGCTCCCACTGCTGACAAGTTCACTGGGTTGTGGGAGTCTGCAACAAGCTGCCCAGCCGTATTGTCGAAGCCAATACTCTCGTTTCTTCCCTAAATGGCTGGTTGAGATCCCTGGATCAATTAACTACTCACAGCGCACATGCGTTTAACAGCTAACTGCATGCACCTCTGCACTCTGCTGTCACGTATCTATTGCTCTGTGTGTTTATCGTTCCGTACTACCCATTGTATGTTGTTGTGCTATGTTGTGCGTGATGGTTATTCTTGTATGATGTCTATTGTACCGCTCATTTCCAGAGAGAACGGCGTGAATATGAATCCCAACGTGCATGAACGTATGGCAAATAAACTCTTATCCTATCCTACCAAATGGTAAAGATGGGCCGATTGGCGTCCTCTGGCTCGTATATTCACAGGGCTCATTAAAAAGGGTTTTCAAGATAATGTACAACTTACTGAACAAGAACATTGCTTTCCTGCTTCGTCATCTTTGTCTGAGGGGCGGTACAGAAAAAAAAATTGTACTTACGGCACTGTAACACACCGACTGCCACTGAACCAGCCAGTTTACTAAAGCATCAGCAGGAGGTTGGCTATCCATGCCCCATTCCTGATAACTGTGAAGTGCCGCTGCCCCACTGTTGTGCCGCCCATAGAATTGAAGGCAAGCATGTATGACTGGCCTAAGAGAGCCTAGTACAGGACACTAGGCTTGTTTGGTTCACCCCTGACATGAAACATCAGGTTAGCGCTGTCAGTCACTCTGGAGCCCTAGCAGGCAGAAATGAATTTCCGGCCTTCACTTAATAGCAAATTTCATTCCACAGCTGAATAATAATTTTAAAAACGCCATCCTCCAGAGGAAAAAGCTGCCCTCATTTAGAGGGCTACCTACACACATTGCGACTGGGAGTAAAATTACAGACAGGCAGTAGTGACGGCATGTCAACTGCTCCATCTGAAGTGTCCTGGGGACTAATAAGACAAATGAGTGGCTGTTATCCTGCATGCTAAAGTGTTTAAACAACCCTGGGAGGGCAAGCTGGCTTCCTGACTCTGCACGTCGGCATATCCCTGCGTCTGCTGCTCCTGCCGCTGGGTTGACAGGTTTGCACTCCCCCTGTCTGGGAAGTGGCTTGTGAAGAGCAGCCTGGGGATAACGCCGGATTTTAATGAGCTGCAGTGGAGCACAAAAGAAGAGTGTTCGGCTCCCCTGCTTGGTTCACAGCCAAGTAAATAAGGTGAGGGTGCACCGATATCTGCCGCGCGAGCTCACCTTCACCCGTGCAGCTGGAAACGACAACTACAGTACAGCGGAGGGCAGGTATGAGGCGAACAGCTGAGGGAGCACTGCTGGGAACAGGAAATGCATTCTATAGGGTTACCCTGGGGTTTCACAGTTTTCCCCACTCTGTTCTTTAAACTGGCTTCGATAAAGTTCTATCACCCATTTGCAAATATTTATCCAAGTCAGTGTACGCGCATGCCTTGGGGTGATCAATCGCCTAACCTTGATTTTAGGATTTAACGTAATGCTTAGATGTTGCTCGAAGACGTCTTACAGCACAGTTTACTGATGCATTTTAAGTTACTCAAGTGGCTTGAGGAGAAGGGCTGTTAGGTGCACTGGCTTGCTGGCAAGAGGCAGCCTGACAAAAAAAAATCAGCACGCAGCATATCACATATCACAACCCAGAGCAACATGTACAGTATGTGTTGGTGAATTAGGGTTATAAAACTTAGAAGGAGGCTGCAATCACTTCAGGCATTTTCAGTCCTATAGTGACAAAAGGTTTGTAGATCAAAGGGTTTGTCTCCTCATTTGCTGTTTCACTGCATGAGACGGAGAGAGTGCAATTCATACAGAACTACAACCTATTTGATCTACTGCAGCAAAGTTTTGGTGTCAGATTTGTCACCGGGAAGATAAGAAGGTTAGATCATGAGAGGGATCACTGCAGAGTACAGGAGTAAGAGAGAGAACTAGGCACTGTGACCTAGCAAACAAGAAACTTGGAGGTGGTTCCGAGAGGAGTGTTGTTCTAGTTTTTACATCTCTGACCTAACAGGCAGTTAGTCAGTAACTGACAGAATAAAGTCTCTTGTTACGCTAGCCCAGGGCCAGCCCATGGCCACAACTTAGACTGGCATATTTCCAAACCTTACTAACTCCTGATATTTAAGGCACCTAGTGCGTACATACTAGTGACTGAAAAGCAACATTCAATTTCTGAAACCTGTTTATCACAAATATAAACAGCTTATGTAATACAGAATACTGAATGATCAAAAGACGAAAAGAGGACGCAATATATTAATTCCTGAAACAGTCTGTATAGTTCACATACTATCACCTCTTAAAATCAGATCAAAAATGACTTTAACAAGGCTCAAAGTCAACTTGATCAAGTAGGTAGCTACGACAGCATGTGTAGACAGCAAAGGAACAAGTAAAAGTTAATTCCATGCTGAAAAGAAAAGAGACACAACTTTTCGGCTGTGGAGCCTTCTTCAGGTGTGAGGGAGAGAGGAAAGCCTGCAGTTGACAAAGCAAGGGAGAACTAAAGACAGGAGTTGAGAGGAGGCAGGAGATGGAGAGAAGCAGTATCGGCACTCAGGTGGTGTGAGGTCGTGAGGTGAAGAGAGGTAGAAAGAATTAGAATGAAAGGCGTCTGTCAGGGGAAGATGTGCTCCTAGTTTCAGGATAATTTTGGTTTCGGATGTCCTTCTGCAAATGGAGTTCTCAAACCGCTCAGTGAGGACGCAGACAGAGAGATCAGTATGATCATGGCTGTAAGAAGATCCTCGCAGCCCTGACACGTTTCCTGAAACAGTCTCCCTGTATCCTTGCTGTTTTACCAGTGTAGATAGCTGGGCATTTTCTGCAAGATCACCCTGTAAGATGGGGAAGTTGTCGTTAATGGTCCTAGGGATAGAAAGGGTGTTAGAGTGGCAGAGAAGCGCCAATGGAATACAGTTGTGAGTCCGGGAGTTCTAATTGGGTTGATGATCGGAGGGCTATTTTTGGCTATTCAAAGTCAATTTAGGTATACTCACCACTCTTTTTACCTCTTTACCATTTACAATTTTTTCCTTCAAAATGTCTGATTCACACAAGCATCATTTAAAATGGACACAAAGCTGTTATATCAGTCAGATGAGCTCAAATGCTTTTTAATAAGGCATGTTTTTAATTTCTGGTTCAGAACAACAAAAAAAACAACCTGCCTCCTTATATTCTTAATTTGAATACAATCACATCTGAGCCCATTTTACACTCTGCTAAATAAATTTTACTACTGATCCTGCATTACACTGTCTAAATACTGTCTAACTATCTGAATGTCAAAGAGTTTTTGCAAACATTCAGATTTCTGAGGGTAAAATGCAAATAAAGCTGCACACAGGAATATTAATTTAATAAATATGACTAATTACTGATCATGTTTACCATGAAGCAGAGTGGCTAAGTGGGTCTACATGTGAAATAAATGTTTTCTATGAGAAATGGATAAAGGCAGTGATGGGGTATCCAGAGTCTTTCGACCAGTAAAGGTGATCACCCCCGTCCAAACTGAGCTCTGTGATTACAGGTATTAACCTGGTCAATAGGTGACGCGACCAGGATTCGACAGGCAGTGGTGCACAAGTGTCCGAGAGCCGCCGAAAGGAAGATGAGTTGCCCAGCGGTCTCTCGGCTCGCAGTCACAGTGGCCCCTACGGGTAGGCAATGCAATCTGTTGGGGACACACCCCTCCTCCAATCAGCTCTGAACCTCCAGGACAGGGCTATACTGTCTGTGATGTCTTCAAAGGTGGGCCAAGACTTGAAAAAGTCACCTATTCCAAATAGTGGGCAAACAAGAAAGAACTGGGAATTCTAAATAAATAAAAAACAGCCGTCAAGATATTTTCTGTGTGTAAAGTTGGGTACTAAAAAAACACCTACAATTTTGGATAACCTGTTAGGAACAGGATTAATAATGCTCATAGCTTTAGCATTTTTATGTCCACCAGTAGCAAACATTCAAGGCCAAAATTCCACTCTTAATTTAGCTTCTCCCTCCCCCCCAACACCCAGTAAAATGCACAGGACAGGGACAGATACATACAGACAGCCCGGGCAGATTGAGAGATTGATGCACCTCACACAAGAATGTGCTGCATTTAAATTTCTAATGTTATCAAGCTGTGCTACTAATGTGAGTTCGGAGACACGGCCAGGCAGTTAATCACTGCAGCTCAAAGCAATCAAGACAGGACAGCGTCTGGTCAGTGGAGAGACGCAGGAAATTAAAAGCAAAGCAACAAGCACAGCTGCACGTCCAGCAAGTCTACAAGACAAGCGACCCTCAGAAAAATGACACTTCCCTTCATCTCAAAGTCAAAGTAGAAGCTGTATACATTTTATGGCCTCAATTTGTCATTACTGATCATTAAAAATACCGCACTGATGCACTACACTATGGATGTCTCAGAGATTCTCCCTTTGCAAGAATTATATAGTTTGAACACTGCTTTGCCATTACTATTGAGGTACATCACAAAACAGATAAGAAGAAAATGTGCACTAACCTTGACTTTGCACACTTAACCACCTGTCGACTTTAAAGCCCATAAATAAAATCAAACAACTTCTAGTCCAATCTAATTTAAGTTCATAAAGAAAACACATCTCTGCTGCTTTCCCGAGAAGTAAACTTGGCAAATATGCCAACTACGTAAATGAGTCCCAAAGCCTGAAAAACAATGCAATGGTGCTAATGAATTGTTTCCAGGCTTGGTCATTTAAAATGGCACAAACATAACTCTACTCAAGCATGGAAATGCCATCAATGCCTGCTATTTAATTAGGTTTAATCATTTCTGTTCTAGACAGGACAGCTATCTTGACGAGTCAATTCCAGATGAAAACTAGACGGAAGGTCTCAAGTTTACCCTACAATCCTAGGTATGACAGTTTCTCTCAGTGCCTGGTGAGGCATTCAATTGAATAATTAGTTTGGGAATTAATCACTGATAATCTCATTGTGACAGAAAGGAATGTAATGGAAAAAGAACTGTATCAAAAATCTAAAGGCCAAAAGATAAATCGGATGTTTTCAGACACACCAGTCTGGGTATAGTGGCAATAAGCAACTTGTTCTAATTATCACAGCCTCTTGGGGAATTTTTAACACAGAGGGCAAAGCGTCAAATAAAAACTATAAGAATACACAGAAAAAAAAAGTATCAGGAAAACGAAAATATTCTTGGAGAACGTTCCACTTTAGGAAAGTTACGACAAGACCAAAGAGAAACAAAGATCTAACCTGTGGAGAGGGCCGTGGCAAGGACACGGGGCAGCTGGCCTGCTGGTGGGACTGTGAGTGGCTGAGCTGGGAGAGGGAGCGGTGGAGTTTCTCCTGCTGCTGAGAAAGGTACTGCTGATAGAGGGCAAGAAGCTCCTGACATTCCCTGTACTGCTGCTGCAGGCGTGAGGAGGAGTTAAGGAAAAGGACAACCAGTGCGAGTGACTTAAGAGGCAATGGAAATATCTTGTTTAACCCATGCTTCTGATTTTGAACTTAGGAAAGTTACCAACACAATCCAGTCTCTCAATTTCATATGACTCCCTAACTGCTGATAGCTTTCCTTTTTCATTTAAAATCTCAGGTTCTCTAAGGCACACTGGTGCGTTCTGTTAAGCGGACTGACTGGTGACAGTTTCACCCCTTTGGTATTCCTCACGGTCGAGAAAGTCTTTCACAATCACCTCTTCTGCAGGTTTAGAAGACAACCCAGAAGGTCAATCCAGGAATAGCCAAATAGCCTTTCGGGCCTGTGCTCCCAAGTAGAAAAGGTCATCTTGGAGTAATGATCTGGTCCCTAACACAATGTTTCTGATGTTACCATTTAACCTTCTGGCGCTGTTGTTCTATGGTTTTGAGGTTGTTGAGATGCTCACAGCAGGATCCATCCTCCACTGGAGCTGGATCTAGGCAATAGCCTTCCATGAGCTGGTGTCGACATAGTACGCCATAGTATAAGACAGCTGGACATCCACACAGCTGGCAGCCCAAAGACGTTCACTGATCACTGACACAATGCACATAGTGTTTGATTGTGAGAGGAAACTAATGATTTTTTCCTTATCCTCTATTAAAAAGAACTTTCACAGTGCTGATGATACTCGAGATACAAGTACCTTAAGATGTTTTCTATACATTGTCCAAATCCCAGCTGTACAAAGTAAGGTAAAGATCACAACAAATTGATCTTGGTTTGAGATATAATGTCACAATCTTCAGACACCACTTTCCTCAGGGGCCCAAAGGCTGCATGTGCATATTTGAGAACATACTGGAACTCTTTCTTGATGTCAGCTATTATTGAGATATGACTTCTAAGGTGCTAAGAAATATTCAACACTCTTTAGAGCCTTTCAATCAATGAACTGTTCATTGAGAGCTTGATGGAGGACTTCAGTTGTTTATGCATTACACAATCACATTTTCTTGTACACCTCAGTAAAGACCGCAATGATTCCATATAGATCTGGATCTTAGTAAGCATACGCTACAGCCTCATCAGCATACTGGTTTCAACGACTGGTCCGAGTGGTCTTTGTTCTGGATAGGAGTCAGCCAAGATGAAACACTTTATTTTCCATTCTGTAATTCAGCTCCACTCCAGCTTCATTATTTAGTGAGAGTGTGCCTATTCTAACAACCATTTGTTATTTAAGAGTATTTTCAGTTCACTACTAAAGCAATCAGACACAATTCAGCGCCAGTTTTAAGTTATTTTGAAATACAGCATTAAACCACACTATTACAGTGAAGGAGATCTTTAGAATGCTGACATTCCCAGGTGTTTTTTCTTCTTTCTCACCATGTTGCTTTATAGATAAAACACTTCATAAGCAATACATATAGATTTGGCATTATCGCTGCAGGGCACATTCCACATCAGCCTCCTGTAATATGAATAATTATTTTAAAACCGTAAGGAGGAACACTGCCTTCAAATCCATATCAGCATGTATCCATCTGACAAGCACCCTTTGTTTCACAAATGTGACAGAGCTCACTCTTGCTGGGATTTGGCTGTTCAAGGACATCTCAATTAGATACCAGCTACCATGCAGAGAGATACTTCATCATTAGAAGAGGGTAAAAGAAAAGGGGAAAGTAAGTAATCAACATTTCAATCAAGAGAAGACTGTGGGTGTCTCATTCTCTGCGGGCTGGAGGACAGGTAGATTCCAGAAGCACGCTTCTGACAGTTTTTCTTTGAAATTTAAAACACAGACATTGCAAACAAATCTCTCCTTCTTTGATACACTTTCAATAATATTAGTTACAAATGCAGTGGAGCTAACACACTATAGTCTTGGGTTTTTTGGGGGGTGACAATCTTCCTAAAGCGCTTCAGTCCTTGCAAGGTTAAAGGTGCTACATCAAAAAGAAGAATCCAGGCAAGCAAACGAATTCAATTACATACGCAATGGACAGCATGAAGCTCACAAGAGCCCATATTGCCAGGGCTGCAGATCATTGCTTGAGAGGACATTCCATTTAAGTTTTCAAAATTCTGCAGGGAACGCAGTTAAAAAGGAAGACCCTAGAAGAAAGTCCTAGTTAACAGAACTGATTACTCAAAGATTTTAAAAACTATTCAGCAGCACCCCATGTATCTGAACAATTACACACCAAAGTGCAACAGGATCAGACCACAAACGGAGAACCACTGCTGGCAAACCACAATGAACATGGAGACACACTGTGCACAAATGAAGAGTTTTCGGGCTCTCCCCGGCTGCTGCTCTGCGGGGCATGCTAACATTGGCCTAGCAGCAAGTCTTTGCTCCACTTACCTGTCAGTCAGCACCGACTGCCATGGACGCCAACTGACAGGAAACCGAGATCACCTGGAGGCATTTACCATCTCGCCTCTCCGAGTGAATTGGGAAAACTGAGGGACTGCTCAGCCTCTGCTCTGGACTCCGTTATAGAGCCTGAACTCTGAGTCTCTATTCTCCTGTGCGTTGCTTTGAAATCCTGATCTCGCTTTGTTACATCACTGTTAGGTTATTACATCCCCCTGTGTTCGAACCTGATCGCTTGACTCCTGAACCTCCAGAGCTAAGAGCTACAACTTCGTACCTGCCTGACCATCCCTCTCAGTTGGCCCCCCCCAGTGCTTTCACTTGTCTCCATCTCACTAGCGTCTCTGCAGGTCCCCTGCTCACCTGCACTCTCTGCTTTTTGTGCTCCACCACCATCCTGCCTGCAGCTTTGAACTTATGCCTGCGTGACGCTCCACACTGCAGCCTGCCTGAAGTTCCCCTGGGTTTCATTCGCCTTTTGTCCTGCAAGTGGGTTTCCCATACAACTCCCAGACAACTGCTAGTGCCACTGTTAGAGTATAACGGAGTCTGTGCAGTCCTTAACCATCCCTGAGTCACCCGGACAGGAGAGATGGTAATTGCCTCCAGGTGATTTGGGTCTCCTGTCAGCTGGTGTCCATGACAACTGGTGTTGAGTGACAGGTGGTAGGAGCAGAGTCTAGGCCAATGCTAGCTCACCCCACAGAGCAGCAGCCAGGGTAAGCCTGACAGCAATCAAGACAAAGCTTCTTTAAAGTATTTGTTCTCTTCTGAAAGAGCATCTGCATTCTCCTGTTAATGCATTTCTTGCTCCATTTCCTATAATGTGTTCTGCTTTAGTCACTGTTGTTGTTTCCCCTAACATTGTTATCTGTTGTATTAACTATGCCAGCAAATACAGCTTGTGTTTAGAATTCTCAACATCTACAGGCTGGGAAGTGTAAAAGGAAAGGAAATTAGTCATGCAGAAGGCTTTATTCCACATTAGTCAAGGCCTGTGTTCAGGACTGTAAAGAACTGTTTTCTGTGTGTGAGGCAGTTCTTTATCTGGAGGACACTTAGCATATCTAAGGAAAAGAAAAATGTACACTAGAATCACAAAAACAACTAATAACGTAGGCAAAACATTAATAACTTCAAACCAAAATGCAGATACAACCTTTCCCAAGGTCTGCAAATTTCACAGCTTCACATGATCGCTTGCAGCATAGCACAAAAAGGATTTAATCCCACTCTGAACTTGGATATTATTAATGGTGAAGCATCTTGATCCGAGAATTACTGGTGTTAAAACCTGGATTGATTCCAAGCAGAAAATACATGCTGAAGAACCATCTTCAAATTTGCTGCTTCAAGAATAAAGTATAATCTGTTATTTACAGTAATACATAGGATAGTGATTAATCCAGGTTGCCACAGATTCACCTTAAAACTAATTTCATATATAACGAGATTGTAGAAAACTTAACTAGCAGGAACCACTGCCATTTATTAACAGCAGGAGAGAGAACATCTTATAAAATGAGCATCAAAATAAATATCTATTTCTTCATGGATTGAAGACGTATGTGGACTTTGAATATTGATCAAAGGTTTTTGGTATACCATTGATTAATTGATCATTCATGACCAACCTTGATACACTCAAGCACCTTTATTGCATTGGCACTCAATCACCCAGAGAGTGAAAGAGTTGAATGAACACAGACGATAAAGTGGATTTAATCTGTCAAATTTGGTGAACAACAAAAACACAAGAACAAAATCGTCCCATTCCTCAAGGGAACAACACCTTTGCCACGCGTTAGAGTAAGGTCTAATCTACAATAAGACAATTTTTCAAGTGCTCTTATGCTCATTTGAGTCCTAGCAATCCCATTTTCCAGCAAAACAATGCACATCTTCCAAAAACGTGTGTAAACATGGCTAACTTGTTTCATGATATGACGGTTAAATTGTGGATATTTTTCTCACCAGACATGAGCCATATGGATGATGCGTGGCATGTCACTCTTGGAGACCAGTGAACAGTCACGTTTCTCCACGCTCTAAAACAGGAATGGGAAAGAATCTTCCACCTGGTGGCATGTACAGCTTGACTTGCTACAAGCCTGTGACCTTCTCAGTAAACCACTTGTTAATCAAACATTTATCTTCAACAGGATTATCAGCATAATGAATTTACTTATGTCAAGCCTTTTAAACAAAATGGTGAGCCACCTCCAACAAAAACATTTTTTTCTTGATTAATTTTGTGAACTCATTACATGAGTGATAAGTGTCTTTTGATACGCAGTATAGACTTCCTGTACCCAGAGCACATTTCCTTCATATGGTTTTTTGTCATTTTTTGTCTCAGTTTTGTTTGAAAATGTGAAAATGAGCCCATATTCTAAAGGTAGTAAGGGGACAACAAAGTTTTTGGTCAAAGTGCTGCTTCTGTTACTTTGCCAGGACTCAGCTAAACTCAGGCACCCCACAACATCTATCCAGGAATAAAAAATGAAACGAGACAACTGACTGCCTGCAGAGAATTAAAAAGATAATACTACTGCAATGATAAACCTACACATCCTCATTCTTTGTTCTTTCCATCATCTATTCCT